GAGGGCGAGCCTGGGACCCGGCGCCTGGGTACCAGGCTGGAGTGCGCCTGCCTCGCCCCGGCCTCTGCGGTCCGCACCCTATAGCCGGCTTTCTCCAAGAGCCACATGCAGTGGGTGGGGGATAATGAAGCACTGGTGCTGAGAAGGTTCAAGTCCAGCCTCCAGGTCGGGAGCCCTGGGGTACGCTGAGAGAAGAGAAGCGGGAATGAAGGTCGGTGGTGCTGCTGAGAGCCAGTGCCTGGCGGTCTGCCTCCGTGGCCTTGCCCCCCTGGGACACAAAGCTGGTGTTTTATAAGCAGGTAAAAGAAAGGGTGACGTCTAGAAACTGGAGAAATGGAGCACAGGGTCAGACAGTAAGATTTTCAGATGGGAGGTCTAAAGACGGCTCAGTGGTTAAGAACACTTGCTGCTCTTGCAGAGGACGCGGCTTTGGTTCCCAGCACCCACCTGATGTTCACAGTCATGCGTAACTCCGGTACCAAGGGATCCAACACCCTCTTCTGACCTCTGCAGGCACCAGGCACGCACGTAGTGCACATACATACATGCGGGCAAAACACTCATGCACATAAGATAAATACGCTTTAAAAAAAGCCATTTTTAGATGGAGGCCTAGTATACTCCACCCACTTCAGGGTTAGAGGGTATCAACACCCACATAACCCAAAGATTTGTAGTCGCAATCACAGATCCAGATATGAATCCTGCTCATATATACTCTAGCTCTGTAAGGTCACCGCTGTCCTGTGTAGGCTGGCCCCTTGGGGCCCTCAAGGCTCCTTTCCTGCCCAGGCAGCAGAAAGGCTTCTGTGCCTGCTTCTGTGGATTGACCTATCCTTGAGCTCTAGCCCCAGCTGACTCTTGTCTCCTCCCCCAAGTCACCCTTCGCCTTCTCAAGTTGCTCCTGAAAGAGACTCACTTCTGCTTCTAGCAGCTGGGAACACGCCTGATTGCTGATCGGTAGACACTCAGGGCCAGTCCAGGGAGATTCACCTCTTTCGGTGAGTCACAGAAACTCTCTCCCCTCCTCTTTACCCCCCAGCTCCACATCCCGAAGCTGTAAGGAGGAGCTGGGTAGTGGAGTGGTCCCTCCCACTGTCCACTCTTTCCTTAGGAAACTTCAGAGCACAAAGGCACTATTGATTCTCCGCCACCCCCAGTGCGGGGCCCAGGAAGACTTTGCAGCGGGCTCAATGCACCCCTGCATGGAGTCACCAGGAGCAACGAAAGTACCAATGAATAGTCTGCCAGGAACTCCCAGCGCATGTCTGGCTCCGTCAGGTGCCCAGAGTGTAAATCTTACCTGTGGGCAGCAGCTGGATACCAGCCTCTGGCTTCTGTCCCCACAGTGTGCAGAGCCCTAGGGGATCAGCTTCCTCTCCAGCTTGCTCCCCCGGCCCAGTCTTTCTGGGAGGAGCTGGCAGGGGCCTCTGCTGCCTACGTCTTCTTTTCCTGGATAAACACAGATCTGTCTCTCTGGCCTTCAACAGGGTTTTCTTAACTCCTTCCTCTAGTCAGAGCCAGAATTCCAGCAGCAGCCTGCTAGACCTGAACATGTGCTACCAAGGTTGGGAGGGCGGCAGAGAAAAGGGACACTGCCATCGGTGGCCAGTGGCTAGCTGTTGTCCTAACCTTCCCAGGCAAAGCCCTTAGCCATATCCACACATAGTCTGTCTTCTGTAAAACCCTCCCTGCTGGGGTCCTGTCTTGGCCCCTAATTATGGGCTCTGGAGCCACTCCAGTAACTCCTCAGCATTTTGGCTTTTAATGACCAGTTCAGTTCTCTGAATTTTATCCAGCACCCCTCTTCCAAATAAAAAACAAAAAAGAAAAAAGCGGCTAGGCTCAGGATTTCTGGATATAAAGACACTGAGGACAGCTGGTTCCACCAACATTGAGGACCAGTGGACTTATGTCCTACATCTTTTGGCAGACTTTAGGATGCACAGGTAGCCACCGGGAAGATGAGATTATCAGTTTACAGGCTCACTACCCACATTCTCTCAAAGACAGAAGCTCACTCCTTCCTTAACATGGGTGTTTCCCTCTTTACTCTTTCCCTGATTGATAGGGATGCCTCTTGTCCTATTGCACAGCACTCCCCATCTTTTTCTTTTATGGTATTGGTTATTTATTTATGTAAGTCAGAGTGAGTGGCCTGGAATTTCCTGTATACCCCATCTTAGCCCAGGCTAACCTGCCTGGTCTAGGCCCCCTAATTTGGGTTTACAGGTGTAAGCCATTATATGATTTTATGTAAATATCATAAGGAGAGTGCTTAGCACAAGCCAGGTACTCAGACAGGATTAAAAAAATATTTTATGTGTGTGGGTATTTAGTCTGTCTGTATGTTTGTGCATGATGTGTATGCCTGGTGTCTTCAGAAACCAGAAGAGAGCATCAGATCTAGAGCTGGAGTTACAGACAGCTGTGAGTAACCATATGGGTGTTGGAAATCGAACCTGGGCCCTCTGGAAGAGCAGCAAGTGCTCTTAACTGATGAATCTTCCCTCCAGCTCTTCATTTGGGATTTGAAGGTGTGAATGAATGCTATTAAGCAGAATTGAACTTGAAACACATTGTCCATCTGTTCACTCGAAGTCTAAATTGTACCAATTGCAGTACTGAGTGCACAGAATGGGGACCTAAGAGAGAGAGAAAGGAAATGCCTGCAACGAGCACAGCCCCAAGACAAACTGTGAAATGTAGGGTTGTCAAATAAACCAGGAAAGCAATGATTATTTTGTCATCTGATGATACTTGAGGATCACATGAAAATGCAGGAAAGCAATGATTATTTTGTCATCTGATGATACTTGAGGATCACATGCTTTGTTCCCCAGGTAACCTTCTACCCTGTGGGCCCAGGGCCCTTGACTCTGCATAGTCCTACTGGTTTTCCGGGGAAGATTGGGTTATCACATTCCATAGTCTGGGCAACTGTCAGATGGACTGGGGGTAGGTAGAACCCTCAGAGGTGTGAGGATTACACAGGGTAACACATGGACATTAGTTAGGCTGACTCTTGCAGCAAGAAAACAGAAAACCCAATTTAATATGGAGTGATGAGGACATTAAAAAGGATTTATTTTTACGTGAATAGGTGCTATGTACAAAGTGGGTGCAATGCCAGAGGAGGCCAGAAGAGGACATTGGGCCATCTGGAACTGGAGCTCTATGGGTGCTGGAAACCAAACCAGGGTCTTCTGCAAGTATGGCAAGTGCTCTAAACTGTTGACGATTTCTCCTGTCCTGAGAAGGGTAGTTTTGATTTGTAAAATAAGACCAAAGTAGAGTAGGATTTGTGGAAACTTGATCTTGGGGCTTCATTCATACATAGTTGCTGAGTATCTGCTCTGTTCATGACTCTGGGAATATAGCAGCAAGAAAATGAATTCCCCTGGCCTGATGTAGTTTATTATTTCCTGGGGGAGGGCAGGCAATGGTGACAAATGCATTGGTTAATCAGCGAGGAGGCGTGTCTCCTGGGTTGAAGGAACCTGGTGTCTGTTGAGGATGGCATAAGGGGGTAAGGGTACTTGTAGAAAGAGAAGAGGGAACACTGCTGAAATAGCGTCATGTGAGATGACTGTTGCATGAACCAGGACTGTGAGAGTCTGTCTCTGATGTATTCTGAAGGGGGGAGCATTTCAGGACTGTGAGAGTCTGTCTCTGATGTATTCTGAAGGGGGGAGGATTTTCAGGTACACTCATTCCCATTCAAAGAGTTTTGGCTTAAGCATCTGAAGGAATGGATTTACCATTTTATTAAGAGAGGAAATATCAGGTACTCAGGTTCATATCTGTTGTTTGAGACCCTTTAGTGTTAGACATTTAAGTGGGAATGTAGAGTTGACTTTGGATACATAAATCTTGTGCCCAGAGAGGAGGCACAGATTCTTCTTCTTTTTTTTTTTTGTAATTTTTTATTAGTTCAAATTAGGAACAAGCTTGTTTCACATGTCAATCCCTTCTCCCTCTCCTTCCCCTCCCGCCTCCTTTCCCCCCCACCTCCGCCCTACCCCCACCCCATCCACCCTCCACTCTTCAGGCAGGGTAGGGCCCTCCACGGGGGCTCCCCAAAGTCTACCACATCATCCTGGGCTGGGCCTAGGCCCTCCCCCATGTGTCCAGGCCAAGAGTGCATCCCTTCACGTGGGATGGGCTCTTAAAGTCCCATCTTACACCAGGGAAAAATATTAATCCACTACCAGGGGCCCCCTAGAGTGCGGAGGCCTCCTCATTGACATCCATGTTCAGGGGTCTGGATCAGTCT